TTCCTTTTACAAAGGCACAAATCCCCAAGGGCCCCACCTAATACCACTACACTGGGGGGTAGGATTTCAGTATTTGAATTTGCAGGGGGACACAAACATTCAGCCCATTGCACCCAGTGTGCCATACAAATGTTGTTACTATTGACATGTGCCAAGACATGAAATGAATTTGGAAGGCACATGCCAGTCTTCCCATGTCTTTCCCGTATCTCCGTATTTCCCACGACTGTTTTCAATAACCCTCTATTTCAGCAAAATGATCTGTTCACTGTCCCCCAAATACTTTCAGGCTTGGGAAATTTCCCTTATGATTCCTCTTACCTTAAATCCTAGGCATCCCTCTGCATGTTGAACTGTTTTTTTTTAAGTCCCACCCAAAGTGACCTCCTCCATCAAAATATTATATTTTATAATGAACATTACATAATCTGTTTATTGACTATTGACAGATATTACTGTGTTCTTCTTTTTTCATCTGTTCTATCTTATTCCTGTGATGGTCAGAGTGATATAGAAGGTCAACCTGTTTGATTTTTTTTTTTCCCAGTCAAAATGCAATGTATGTCTACCATATGTAAAACACGTGCTAGATGCATGGAGATTCACAGAAGGGGAGAAAAAAGAAGAAAAAAGAAACATATCAATAAAGCAGGTGAATGATGAAGCCTACAAGTCTCCTAACCTAAAAAATCTGGGGATGAAAGAGGCCCCAACAAGAGGACTCCTCTGCAAGGAGGAAGTATCCACTGAAAGGGTGATATTGGCCATGACTTCTGTCTTGGAACGCTTATGACATATAGTCAAATTTTAGTGGCTATATTAGGATTTGGGGAAGGGCAGGGTATTTTTAATCTCAAACCACCAATAAAGCCTGAACCATTTGCAAGTTTAGTCATAGAACAGAAAATATTTGCATAATTGGACTTAGCTGAGTAGTTCCTTCAGCAGCAAGGAGACCCAAGAGTCAGCTGGAATAATTAGTGTGTGTATATGGGAAGTGGTTGGGGAGGTGGGTAATCGGGTTGGGATTTGGCCCCCTGGGTGTGACTGAGTCAGGGTGAGGAAGGTATCTGTTGCATGGTCTAGGGAACAAGGCTGGCCAAGCTTGTGGTCAATCTGCGGTCAGCCCACCCACCCCCATAACAGCTTGGCAAACTCCTTTAGCATGGCTCCTTGGTCCCTCATTCAGAATCAACAAAGAGGGCCGGCTCTTAGGCTTCTAAATCTGCCAGCCTCCCAAGGGAGTATTCCTAAGTAGGAATATACTTTGGAAAGCTGATAAGCTCCCTCCAAATATTTGGGAGGCAGTCTTTGAATTAAATGGTTTTCCTGCTTGATGTCAACTATTATAGGTACTCTTTGACTATGTGTAGAAACTGTTTGCAGAAAGCTAAGACCCCAAGGGGTCTGTGTGAAAGGAGACAGACTGGATCAACAATAATTTATTCTGATGTCAAAGGAACTCGGAGAACCTCTCAATTATATACCTCCAAGAAAGCACCATCCTACTGGCTGTTCCTGGGACTCAGCTGGAGTCCATGAGAACACAGACTAGAGGATGAACTCAAGTATAGAAAACCCTGGGAGAGAGGAGACGGAACACTGGTTCAGGATCTGAGTGGGCTTGGGGGTTCTACAGGAAATTGAAGTCACCTGAAAATACAGAGCTGCTCTAAAAATGATTTAAGATGATTTTTTCTTTTCTTTTTCTTTTTTGAGTTTTGTTTTTTTTTAATGTTTGTTTATTTTGAGAGGCAGGGAGAGGGGACAGAGGATCTGATGCAGACTCTGTGCTGACTGCAGGGAGCCCAACATGGGCTGAAACTCACAAACCATGAAATAATGAGCTGAGCTGAAGTCAAACACTTAACCTACTAGACCACACAGGTGCCCCTAGTATGGCTTTTCTATGTATTCCGTACTCCCATGGGACTCAGGAGCCCTCTCTTAGTGACTGTCTATCTGATGGGATGACAGTGCTCAGCTCCCCAATTTTCCCATGACACCAAGAAACCTTTTATTTTGTCTGCAGCCAATCATGGCTCATAGTAAGTCTCCCTCTACAACACACATGGACACATGCGTGCACACGCGCACACACACAACAGTAATATTTTGGACCCTGAATGCTCTGAAAATATACAGAAATGTCTCACCAAGGTAAGGAGGCAAGCTCCCAGACCTTGTCTTTGAAAATATTCAGCTTGTGTAACTCAGGCCCCTGGATCACTAGGTTTCTCTCCCCCATTCCTCAGTTACAGCATATGAACAAGAGTTCATTTGAGTTCCTGCAAAGAAAATTTAATTAAGTGAGCTTTGCAGGACTAATGAGTTTAATTTAACTCTTAAAAATCTGCCTACCAGGCTGTTTCTCTAATATTGTGGCTGTTAGGCCTTTTCTTCTAAGAACTATCTAGAAAGAGTATTTATGTCTCATGTGTTTATGTCTTGTGAATGTGTATTTTAATTTGTTTCAGTCTCTCCCATTTAAAAAAAATTAGTTCAAAGAATAGAATATATATATGTGTGTGTGTGTGTGTATATATATATATATATATATATATATATATATATATATATGGTAAACATTTTTCACTCCTGTGTTTCACTCTGTGCTATAACAGGAAATGCATTTTTGACACTTTTAAAATGAGCAATCACACGTATAATCAACTTGGTTAAAACTTCCTTCCTGGTAACTGCAACACTTCCTCTGCATCTGGATACGAAGGGAGACCCAGAAAAGCGGAAGAGTTTAGAGGCACACTGGGTAGATTCGAATTTGTTTTGTTTTCAAAAATTAAACAAATGATCCTTCAGCATCATCACCTCCGCTGCTTTATCAGGTATTACTTCCTTCTATTTTTTTGCCCTTTGTTGGGTCTGACTCGGAATAGTGACACTTCCGTCTGGGGTAGAATATTTTTATCTGGAACGGTTGTCGGTTCTTGAGATGATACTACCACTGAATGCCTCCGTTTCATTGTCTGGCCAGACCTATACGTGTGGATATCCATAAGGTTCCGGCCATAGCTTTGCAGGTGCATCTGTCCTTTTTGTTTGTTTGTTTTTGTTTGGGAGGAAGAGGGAGGGCACAGGAGCTTGTGCCAGCCGGGTTTTACGTTCTCACAAGTGCATGCTTAGCGATTATTGTGCTTAACAGTGTTTCTGATGTCTTCTCATAAGAGGAGAAAGCTTCATAGCCTCAGCCATGAAGGAAAGCAGTGAGTATTTAGCCAGCCTTTTTTTCCTCTGTGTCTTGTATCTTGTAAGACTGTTTGGTAGCACTGAGGCAGAAGTTATTGCTGTGTATTTGTATTTTGCCTCAATATGGAACTATTTTGTTTCAGTTTGTTGTCAATATAAATATATCTTGTGGTTCTCTTCTTTGGTTGTTATTCTACAATGTAGCAACAGACCAAACAGTGAATTAAAAGCTACAAGAGATAGCCCTCTGGAACAGTTGCTTTCTGTATTTGCTGAAGATAACTTCATAATATTTTAAGAGAGGGACTATTGACTTTATAAGTCAGCTTAAAAGTCAAGATTTGAAACTTGTCTTTCTTATCTTTGAATCAAACTCTCCTTTTTGGTATATATCAAATGGTCCACTATGAAGGAAATAAGTAGTTATGAGTCTCACTAACATTAGTCATTTAAGAGAGTAAATGACAATTTTGGAAACAATTTTTGTTTCAGTATTTGATTCTTATGTGGAACATATCTTACAACCTAGGGATACTAGATATTAAAATCGTAACACCTTGTTTGTATTTCAATTTTAATATTTCAATCATTATTTGAAGTGTTTCCTATTGCATTCTGTCACACTTATACTGAAATGCTTTGTGTGGAGTAGGTACTTACTAAAGACTTGAGGAAAGTGAATTGATGAGAATCAGTTTGTGAATTCTCATTATAGAGATGAAAATAGGAGAGCAAAAAGGAAGTTAAGTGATCGATTGGGGTCCAAATAACAGGTCACTGGAGTCCAGAAATCCACCCTCCCATCTGGTGGCTTCTCCACTATCTAATGCAGGGGCAGATGGAATGAATTGGTACAAAGTTAAAAATACCTGATTGTTCATGCTAGAAGAGTACAGCCTTGGGTGACTCCCCTAAGATACTGCTTTAATGTAACGATGACAGCCAGAATGACTACCCATTTCGTGATTCAAAAATTCAAGTATCTGCAAAAGTTCTTGCTTGCGACTTCACCAATTCTGATGTTTTTGAATATTATCAATGAAATTACTACCTTTCCTAACTAGAAAGAAAAAAAAAAAAAAAAAAAAGAAAGAAAGAAAAGAAAAAGACAGACAGGAAGTTGACTAGGGAGGAGATACCTGATCCAGACAGTTTGAAAGTCGAGAATGTGAAGCGTGGTTGGGCGAGGTATCTCGGTCCCAGAGAGAAGTGTAAGAATGAACAAAGATGAAACAGGTTGAGGGCGTGTTGTCACAGTGTGGGGTTTCAGCATCTCACGCTGCACCTTGAAAATTAGAACTTGATCATTTAACTGGATGATTTTATTCATCTATCCATTTCAGTATGCTTAAGAACAACGCTTACCACCTTGAGCCATTATAAAGTGTCAGGGACTGTGATGGATGAGTGCTTCACATCTCTCTCTCTCTCTCTCTCCTTAATTAAAGTTTCAAACATAAGGTACCTGATTGATGAACCCCCATGTACCTATCGCCCATGCCGAACAAGCATATTACCTTTTTTAATCCTCCCCTCCACCCTCTGAGGTATCACTAAACCCATCTTACAGGTGGGAAACAGGATCAGAGATTCTCTAACTAGCTCAAGTCACCCTGATACTAAGTGGTGGGACCAGCATTCCTGGGCCCCACTTCCAAAACCCCTGTATCTTCGGGCGCACATCACTGCCTTCCTCTACCTTCTCCTTCTGCCACCTCGTCGAAGAGTGTTAACAGAAAGTGCCTGTCCCGTGACTAAGCCCTCTGTGTCTCCACTCCCAGGTCGCGCAGGGCATGGAGTTGGACAACTATGAACAGCCCGTGGTTCTGAGAGAGGACAACCGCCGCCGGCGCCGGAGGATGAAGCCGCGCAGCACCACGGCCAGCCTGTCCTCCATGGAGCTCATCCCCATCGAGTTCGTGCTGCCCACCAGCCAGCGCAACAGCAAGACCCCCGAGACGGCGCTGCTGCACGTGGCCGGCCACGGCAACGTGGAGCAGATGAAGGCCCAGGTGTGGCTGCGCGCGCTGGAGACTAGCGTGGCGACCGACTTCTACCGCCGGCTCGGCCCGGACCACTTCCTCCTGCTCTACCAGAAGAAGGGCCAGTGGTACGAGATCTACGACAAGTACCAGGTGGTGCAGACCCTGGACTGCCTGCGCTACTGGCAGGTGCTGCACAGGAGCCCGGGCCAGATCCACTTGGTGCAGCGGCGCGCGCCCTCGGACGAGACGCTGGCCTTCCAGCGGCAGCTCACCGCCCTGATCGGCTACGACGTCACCGACGTCAGCAACGTGCACGATAACGAGCTCGAGTTCACGCGCCGCCGCCTGGTCACCCCGCGCATGGTCGAGGTGGCCGGCCGCGACCCTAAGCTCTACGCCATGCACCCGTGGGTGACATCGAAGCCCCTCCCAGAGTATCTGTTGAAGAAGATCACCAACAACTGCATCTTCATCGTCATTCACCGCAGCACCACCAGCCAGACCATCAAGGTCTCGGCCGATGACACCCCAGGCGCCATCCTCCAGAGCTTCTTCACCAAGATGGCCAAGAAGAAGTCTCTGATGGATATCCCCGAAAGCCAGAGCGAACAGGATTTTGTGCTGCGCGTCTGCGGCCGGGATGAGTACCTAGTGGGTGAAACGCCCATCAAAAACTTTCAGTGGGTGAGGCAATGCCTCAAGAATGGAGAAGAGATTCACCTGGTGCTTGACACGCCTCCAGACCCAGCCCTGGACGAGGTGAGGAAAGAAGAGTGGCCACTGGTGGATGACTGCACGGGAGTCACTGGCTACCATGAGCAGCTGACCATCCACGGGAAGGACCACGAGAGTGTGTTCACCGTGTCCCTGTGGGACTGCGACCGGAAGTTCAGGGTCAAAATCAGAGGCATTGATATCCCCGTCCTGCCCCGGAATGCTGACCTCACGGTTTTTGTGGAGGCAAACATCCAGCATGGGCAGCAAGTCCTTTGCCAAAGGAGAACCAGCCCCAAACCCTTCACAGAGGAGGTGCTCTGGAATGTGTGGCTCGAGTTCAGTATCAAAATAAAAGACTTACCCAGAGGGGCTCTACTCAACCTCCAGATCTACTGCAGCAAAGCTCCAGTGCTGGCTGGCAAGACCTCTGCAGAGACTCCCAGTTCTGAGTCTAAAGGCAAAACTCAGCTCCTCTATTACGTGAACTTGCTGCTGATAGACCACCGATTCCTCCTGCGCCACGGGGAGTATGTGCTCCACATGTGGCAGATATCTGGGAAGGGAGAAGACCAAGGGAGCTTCAATGCTGACAAGCTCACGTCTGCGACAAACCCAGACAAGGAGAACTCAATGTCCATCTCCATTCTTCTGGACAATTACTGTCACCCAATAGCCTTGCCTAAGCATCGCCCCACCCCTGACCCCGAAGGGGACCGGGTTCGAGCAGAAATGCCCAACCAGCTTCGGAAGCAACTGGAAGCAATCATAGCCACTGATCCACTTAACCCTCTCACAGCAGAGGACAAAGAATTGCTCTGGCATTTTAGATATGAAAGCCTTAAGCATCCAAAGGCATATCCTAAGCTGTTTAGCTCCGTAAAATGGGGACAGCAAGAAATTGTAGCCAAAACGTACCAATTGTTAGCCAGACGGGAGGTCTGGGATCAAAGTGCTTTGGATGTGGGGTTAACAATGCAACTCCTGGACTGCAATTTTTCGGATGAAAATGTAAGAGCCATTGCAGTGCAGAAACTGGAGAGCTTGGAGGACGATGATGTTCTGCATTACCTCCTACAGCTGGTCCAGGTAGGGATTCTGGTGTTCTCAAGGGAGCACTCTTCTCAAAGAGTTTATTTGCATGTGCACAGGCACCCCATTCAGTTGTTACCAAATGCCCTTTGCCCATATAGCGTCACAGTCAGTCAATGGAGATCTGATGAAGCCACTTCAAACAGTAGTAAACTGTTCCATTTACTTTTTTTACTGTCTTTGAGGCATTGCCAACAATCATTTTGAGGACATAGTATTTTGCTTTTTAGGAAAACTGGCCCTATAGGAGTAGCTTGTTCTCATTTACTATATTAGTGACAGATGCGATTAGTGGAATGCTCCCTTGTACCAAGGCTCTGAGGCTGCAAGTGATTTGCATGCGTTTCGTGTATTATCACACTGAACTCTCCAAACAACTATGATGGAGGTCAAATTAACATTTGCATTATATATATATGGAAACCAAGGCTTAGAGAGTCTAAGTAATGTGCTCAAGGTCACATACTTTTAAAAAATCACACCAGAAATCAAACCCAGGCAGATTGCCTCCAGGCCCTGCTCTTTTCTCTGCCTCCAATTTCCTGCATCAATCCAGGGTGAGGGGGGTACCTGGGTGTATCAGTTGGTTAAGCGTCCGAATTTGGCTCAGGTCATGATCTCGGGGTTCGTGAGTTTAAGCCCTGTGTCCGGCTCTCTGCTGACAGCTCAGAGCCAGGAGCCTGCTTTGGATTCTGTGTCTCCCTCTCTCTCTGTTCCTCCTCTGCTCTCTCACACACACTCTCTCTCTCTCTCTCAAAAATAAACATTAAAAATTAAAAAAAAAAAAAATCCGGGGTCAGGATAGTGTGTCCCAGAGAGAAAAGCTCACCCTCTTTGATCACGCTTATCATAATTCATAGAATAACATCTATCTGGGTGGGACCTCAAAAGCCCCTCTCTCCAGACAGGTCTGGTATAGGATTTCCACTCCTGTTCTCACACCTTTCCAAGTAGTCCAGAAGGACTAAGTGATTTGCCTAAGGTTTACCTAGGAAGTTGAAGAAAAAAGGAGGCACAGTTCTGCACACCAGAGCACTTCTGAGACCGTATTGTGCTGTTTAACAAGGAAGAGGAAATAAAGGAATTGGAACAGAATGCTATTTTAGAGTGCAGACATGTCCCTCCATTAATTCAACAACATGTACTGTGCACTTCTGGATGCTAGAGAGATCAGTGATCACAACAGAGCCTGTCTCTGTCCCCCTATAGCTTGTGATGTCGTGGGGGAAGACTGACATTAAATGCATTAAATGCATACACATACAAACAGATATTTCATAACAAATTGTGCAAGTGCTCTGGGGGAGATCTGCAGGGTATTATGACAAAATAGGCAGGGGTCCTGGAGATACTTAATTTAGATTGAGGAAACCAGGGACAGTTCTGAATAAGTGATGTTTGACCTGATCTCTTTATTTATTTTTTAATTTTTTTAAATGCTTATTTATTTTTGAGCGGGAGACAGACAGAGCATGAGCATGGGAGGGACAGAGACACACACACAGAATTAGAAGCAGGCTACAGGCTCCGAGCTGTCAGCACAGAGCCTGATGCGGGGCTCAAACTCACGAACCATGAGGTCATGACCTGAGCCAAAGTCGGATGCTTAACTCACTGGGCCACCTAGGCACCCCTGACCTGAGCTCTTGAGGATTAGCCACTCTTAGTGTTAGACACTAAACTCTGTAATCATTATTTGTAGTTAGAGGAAGGCCCTGGAGTTTTCTGAGCATTTTGAATATTCTCAACTTTAACTCTGAATCTTTGCCTTCTCATTAAGCAGATACTTGAAACATTACACCTGACCTTTGCCTTCCTCTGTTAAATGTATCTAATAGTTTTCTCTGCCCACTAGTTCAGATAGTGACATAAGACAAATGAAAATGAATGAAAATTAATTCACTAATGAATTATTTTTCATTGTCATTTTCACAAGTAAATTTTGCAGAATTGGAAAATGAATCGTGTTCTTCTTGGAAATGTTTTAAATGAAAGAGGTCAATAAGTAATATTAACATTGAATTTGTGGTCATAAATTTGAAAAAGAGTAGTCATTTGTAAAACTATTTGAGACATTTTCAGATATGGCTGAATGACTCATTCCTGATTAAAATGGTCTCCTAGTTGAGATCTGCATTGTGTTTACAGAAGTGAAACACGAATAAGGTTGAAACGACTCACGTTTGAACTGGAAACTTAGAAAAACAATTCTGAAGTCTGTACCAGTGGCCAAATAAACCACATTCTCAGAATTCAGACCTTAACGGCAGCTACAGGCACCTACCGGCCCACAGCCATGAAAAGCATCTTTGAGGAGCGCCTGAGTGGCTCAGTCAGTTGAGCGTCCAACTTTGGCTCAGGTCATGATCTCATAATCGTGGGTTCAAGCCCCACATTGGGCTCTGTGCTGACAGCTCAGAACCTGGAGCCTGCTTCAGATTCTGTGTCTGCCTCTCTCTTTCTGCCCCTCTCCTGCTCACACTCTGTCTCTCTCTCTCTCTCTCCCCCAAGAATGAATAAACATTAAAAAAAATTTTTTTTAAAAGAAAAGAAAGCATCTTTGGAAGCATGTCAATATTGATCATTTCCAAACTGGAAAACCAGAGTAAGAACTGGAAATTGTACCAAGAACCACACAGGCCCTAAAAGATAAAGTGGAATGGGAATTTCTCTTGTTCCTTGGGGGAAAAAAAAAAGGTAGACCATTTCTTTCTATCTGTAAAGAAAATACTGAGATATTTCATTTTAAGCCTTTCTTTATGCACACACACGATATCAGCCTATAAATCTATCTACACATCTGTTAACAATTTAAACTATATTTGTTAGTCTTGCCATAAAATTGTGAACTATTGCAGACTTACTGTAAATACTAAGAATGGTATAACAAATGTTCCTATACCCACCATTCTAAATTATTTTTTTATATTTTATTGGTGATTTTCTTCAGTCATAGAGCTGTCTGCCATGCAGGTCAATACCTCTATAACAGCCAAGTGATACAAAAACTACAAACCCTAGGAAGCACATAAAATCAGAGACTTTTCAGAAAAAACTCTCTGTATACACTGCTGCATAGCAGAGGGTAGTGATCACTCTGTGTGGATGGATTCAGGCCTGCTGTTTACTTGGAGTAAGAGCCCATGAGGTAGCGTGGTGACCTGCCAGCGAGATGCGAAACAAACATCTTGAGCTGAAGGGAAGCTATAGAATTTTTACGATCTTCACCTCTAACATATTTTTCTTGTTATATGTTGCGTCTCCACTGTGCGTTTTCTTTCCAACAACCTCTTTTACATTCCTCTTTTAAGGATGTGTTACAGTCATCCCCATATTTCCCCTCTATCCTTCCAATAAGTCAAGTAAGCCCTTAATGGGAGCCAAAGCCTAACCTTTGATGGTAGCAAAAGAACATAACTGGAGTCAAGAGTTCTGGTTTCTAATCCCAGCCCCTAAGCAAGTGGCTCATTCTGACCCAAAGTGTCCTCAAAAAGAAAGGGTTGAGTGAAGTGACTGGTAAGATTGTCATCAGCCTAGCCAGAAAAGACCCAGTAAGGCAGAGCGCTTTTCCTCCATTTCCTTTTTCCCCTGATTAACCAACACAGAAGTGCAGTCCTACAAATGCCCCTGTGTTCTTCCTTTAGGCTGTGAAATTTGAACCCTATCATGACAGCGCCCTCGCCAGATTTCTGCTGAAGCGTGGCTTACGAGTAAGTACTTCCACTTTGAGAATAGTGTGACCTTTTAAAAGTTAGCGAGAACTGACTGATAGAGCATTAGTCACAACTGTTCACCCTTCTTGTTCCCATCTTCAGAACAAAAGAATTGGTCACTTCTTGTTTTGGTTTTTGAGAAGCGAGATAGCACAGTCCAGACACTACCAGCAGAGGTTTGCAGTCATCCTAGAAGCCTACCTGAGGGGCTGTGGCACAGCCATGCTGCATGACTTCACCGACCAAGTGCAAGTGATCGAGATGCTACAGAAGGTCACCCTTGATATTAAATCGCTCTCTGCTGAAAAGTATGATGTCAGTTCCCAAGGTATGGTGCCTCTATTTCCAATGCCATTATCCCTGCGATTCTCCTTCCTTCGGGGAGGCGGGCTGTACCTTCCTAAAGGAAGCCAAGAACACATTTTTCAATCTTCCATCTTTGTGGAGTAAGCAAATTTAAAGTCCTCCTTTTACAAGTTCGTATTTTTTAAAACTATGGATATATGCTAATGATGAATTTATAATAGATGTTGAACTCTTTGAAAAATTTAAAAAGCATGCAGATGTAAGGTGTATATTTAAGAACAATTGCAGGCCTGAAACTAATATTATACTGTATGCTAACTCACTGGAATCTCAATTAAAAACTTGAAACTAAAAAAACAAAAACAAAAGCAAACCAAAAAAACAGAACAGTTGCACACACATGAAGATTAGTTATTTGCAAATATTTACTTTTTTCCTTCCTTTCAATATATGTGTATAATTTTCAAATTTTCAGACTTTTAAAGAAATGAATTGGGGTGCCAGGGTGGCTCAATTGGTTAAGTGTCCAACTTCAGCTCAGGTCATGATCTCACATCACAGTTCGTGAGTTTGAGGCCCATGTCGGGCTCTGTGCTGACAGCTCAGAGCCTGGAGCCTGCTTCAGATTCTGTGTCTCCCTCTCTCTCTGCCCCTCCCCCACTCACACTCTGTCTCACTCTCTCTCAGAAAATAAGTAAACATTAAAAAAAATTTAAAAAAAGAAATGAATTATTGAGAAGCTTTTTAAATTTGTGTATATATATTTATATATGTCAGTATACTTCTATTTTTTATATATATTTATATAGAGATCAGCATAATTATACACAGACATATATACCTCCTCTCTGATGTCATTTCCAATATGATCTTATCCCTAATAAATCCTGTCCCTGCCCCTAGGAAAATTAATCACTCTTTCTCTGTATTCCCCTAGGCTTGGGTTGATACTATATTAAAATATAGTCATTGACACATCTTTCTGGTCTGGTAAACTGCATGAGCCTTGCAACTAGGGGATATTTTTTATTCATTTTTATATACATAGACCCAGCACTATGGCTCATAATGGACACATATACTAACATAGTCAGCTAGTATTTTGAATATTCTGAATTTCCACTTTTCCCCTTGAATTCTTTTCCAATACACCAATAATGTTCTCTCCAAAAAAATAATCATGGTCATAATCATCTTACTTTTATTTTCATTGTAAGTAAGAAAGGGAAACACTTGTACCGGCCTCTAGTATGTTATCCAGGAAGAAATTTTTAACCTATATATTTTGTCTTAGAATTTAGAATTCTAAAGAACTCTTGAGTTTGAGGCTATCACACTGTCTCCACATAACCTGACTTCTTCTTCTGAAAAGAATTTATAGAACCCTAACTGAATTGCATTTAATATGGTCCTTGAATGTCTGTTCCCCAAACCAAATGGCAGTTCAAAGTTTCACATCTTGGGAAGAGAACAACAGTATATATTCCTTAGCATTACCTTCAGAATATCCTTCCCTACCTGATTGTCTTGGCCTCCCATATCTTTACTCGCATGCTTCTATCCACTGCTGTAGTATTGTGTACATGGTTGTATTGCTCACAGTAAACCTGACTTATCTCGCCACGTCTTATGGTTAGTTCCTCAAAGACAGAAACCTACACCCTTTGCTCCCACTCCACACCAGACCAAATGTATAGAATGTTATGAATAGACGTGGCCTCAGGAAATGCTATAGATAATGCCGGTGATTATTTGAACTCATGTAACTTTGTGCACTTCTGACAATTACAGTTATTTCACAACTTAAGCAAAAACTTGAAAACCTGCAGAATTCGAATCTCCCAAAAAGCTTTAGAGTCCCATATGATCCTGGACTGAAGGCCGGAGCACTAGTGGTAGGTATCACCTCGATGTCCCCAAGTGGTCTTTATGTCTTGTAACTGTCTGTGCACGCTTCACAGGGCCTTGTGGGTAAAAGCTAATGTTTCTGTAGAGACAGAGAAGCTGGAAAGTCCCTGGACGGGCTTCTGTCAAGCCTTTCTCTAACCACTAGCTCCTCAAAGCCTCAAAACCAGGCAGTCTCCCATCCATTTTGTTTTAAATCAGCTTTCTTAAGGAATCATTTACATATAATAAATTTTGTTTGTTTTAAGTGGGCAGTGCAATGAGTTTTGACAAACGTATGCAATCATATAACCACTGCCATTGTAACCAGGATACAGAACACTTCCATAGAGACGTTATAGGGAAGGTTCTTTCATGTTCCCTTGCAGAGCTAGCCCTTTCCTCCTTCCATCCCCTATCCTGAACAACTGATCTGCTTCTGTCATGTCATTTTCTAGAATTTCATCAAGTGGAATCATACAGTATGTAGTTTTTGTATCTGGATCCTTTTACTTAGCATGGTGCTTTTAAGATCCATCCACATTGCTGTGTGTGCCATCTGTTCCTTTTTATGACTGAGTAGTAGTCCCCTGTGTGGATATACTATGCTTTATTTTCCATTCACCTTTTGAGTAAATATTTAGCAGTGAGATAGTTGAGTCATGGTACGTGTGTGTTTAATTTTATAAGATACTGCTGAACTATTTTTCCAAAGTGTGTAACATTGTGTATTCCCACCATCAATGTACATGAGTTCCCACTGTTCCACATCTTTGCCAATACTAATTATCACCAATCTTTTTAATTTTAGCCATTCCAATGGTGAAGTGGCATCTCAATGTTGCATTTCTGTAATGATGTTGAGTATCTTCTCATGTGCTTATTTTCCATCTTCTATTGAGAAGTTTCTGTTCACATCTTTCATTCATGTTTAATATGGGTTGCCTTCTTGTTTTTGAGTTGTTTATATATTCTAGATACAAATCCTTTATCAGGTATACGTTTTACAAATTCCAGTCTGTGGCTTACCTTTTCATTTTCTTAGTAGTATATTTCAGAGAGCAGAAGGGTTTTTAAATTTTTATTAAGTCCAATTCATCACCTTTTGTATAGTTTGCTTTTGTGTATCCTAAGAAACATTTGTGGGGCGCCTAGGTGGCTCAGTCGGTTGGGCGTCCAACTTTGCTCAGATGATCTCACAGCTCATGGGTTCAAGCCCCATGTCGGGCTCTGTGCTGACAGCTCAGAGCCTGGAGCCTGCTTCAGATTCTGTGTCTCCCTCTCTCTCTGCCCTTCCCCCACTCACACTCTGTCTCTCTCTTTCTCTGTCTCAAAAATAAATAAACATTAAAAAAATTTTTTTAAATAAACATTTGCCTAATCCAATAATACTCAACCTGGAGAGACACCCCCAACACACACACACACACACACACACAC